TTTCTTGCATTAAACTTGTGTTTCCAAATAAGATTTAACTTGAAATTAATGTAGATAATTACTGCGAGCATTAGATTTTTGTAGAGTGGTTTGGTGAGATCGTTGGGGTCCGTGATATGAACCGGCGAATCAGATGTTGAACCATGAAAGCATAGTAAATTCTTAAATTAAGTCTTTTTCAAATTTACTGTTTTATTTATTGGCTTTTATAAATTTTAAGCGATATTAAAATGTTTATGCCTTCAAAAAAAAATTCTTAGAACTACATTTTTTTTTGTTTATGTGTACTGTAGGGGTCGCCAATAAGTCTGCTTGGCGATTTGCGCTGGCCAAAAAAATACCCTATCAACAAGGTTCATCCACATTTATGGTAAAGAAGCTGCCCCTTTTCAGCTGCTAAATGTAAGAGGTGACAGGTGCACCTCATAATCTGCAAATCTATTTGCTTTCTTAAGATTGCAACACCAGTCTCAAGCCTACCCTTACTGGTGATTATCGGCACCAAGCTAAGCAATTATCCAGAGGGACTGCATTTAAAGTTTAATAATTAGATGTGCTATATTAAAGCCGTGGAATGTCCTTCTAAAGTGGGGTCAGAAAGTAACTGCACACTCAATTCTGAAGACTGTGGATTAAAAAAAGAAAAAACAATTGGATACAGTTTTGAATTGTATTATTGCTTCCATCCGTAGAGAGGCAGAACGGAGCTGTTTTTAATGCAATTAGTAACTGAAGATTATTTTTCAAACCCATTTCTTTAACAATTGCACCTGTTTTGGTCCTTGCACTTGAGTGTTTCTTAGCGATTTCACATCGGGAACATTTTTCTAAATAAAGCTGCAGCGTGATCCGATGCATCAGTGGCAGGTTGTGCTCCAGTAAAAGGCAGAGAACACATTCTGCCATTATCACTTTTTGGTCTTTTGTTCCGAAGAAAAATTTAATTTTTCGTTTTTTCAAAACAACTCATGTTTCCCTTGTGTTTTTTGTTACGCACAAGTTTGAGAACATCTGCCCTTCCACCAAGCGAAATCGAAAAATCGCAACGACAGATGGTACACATCGCAAATTTATTACATTTCCTTGAAGAAATAATGGAAGGAAAGTCAACTGTGTACGATTTTGAAACGTGCACGAATATTTCCCTTTCTCGCAGACATATCAAAAGACGATAATTTCTAAAACTATTTCCTAAAGGCACGTGTACTCACACAACTCAGGACAAGATGAACGAAATAGCGAAACATCCAAAGAACGGCCAACGGCCTTGAGCTTGCTTTGTGCTCATTGGCTAATATATGCCAGATGACACGCAGTGGAGCTCGATGCCCATTGGACAACTGGAGAACGACGTTGCTGGATGCGTATGCTGTCAATCACAAAGCAGAAATTCTCATCTGATTCGCAAGGTTTCATTTTAGATGTAATCTAGAGAAAATTCAGTTGCTTTCAGACGTTTTTGTTCATAAAACGAAGTATTAAGCCAAGTTCCATAAAAATCGTGAGAAATATTAAGAATAAGAAAAAGTCGGGAGAAATATATTGTAAATCGGGTTGGCGGGAGAGCGGTCGAAAATCGGGAGTCTCCGCCTAAATCGGGAGAGTTGGCAACTCTGTCATAGTAATTTTATGCTGCCCGCAAATATACTTTCGATAAATTAGCGTTATGACAGATTTTAAGAAAAATTAATAGAGTTTATGGTCTGCGGTCCAGTTTTAAGTTATATTCATTACCCAAAACTGACAAATCTAGAAATAGGGCTAATTAATTTACACTGTGATTTAAATCTTGTTCAGTAACTTTTATTAATACTTGTCAAAAGATATACAGTACAAAGTCCTTAATCGGAACTCCAGCGATTCCAGATTATAGATCTTCAATTTAAATCTGGTAAGATGGCATGCAGAAATTATACAATTAAAAATATGAAACCATAATTTATGAAATAAAGAGCAATTATGATCTAAAGGGTGTCAAAATTTACAAAAAAAAACCTTATATTTATTTGGTTACTTTATTAAAAATTTCTTTCAATGTAAGTTGTTTAAGTTGCTTCATTTTTTTGTGCTAATACTTTCTCTTTAATTCTCTCTTCTATAAACAGACATAATTTCTTGTTCAGTTACAAAGTTCCACTGTTCAAATCTTGTAATTGCTGCATCGAGAAGACCGACTAACTTGTCAATCGGAATTTTTTCGTTTTCAATAATCTCTCTGTCGCTTTCTTCACTATTGGAAGTGCACATGTATAAATGCTTTACTGGCTTTACGCGCATGTGTAAGTTTGTGACCTTGAGGCCCGGATTATAAATAATTCCGGATTACGGACTTTGTACTGTATATCTTAATTTATGAATTTTTGCAGTAAGAATGCTCTCTGTTTTTGAGTACATTGACCAGAGAAAAATTTTATGCTGCTGTACTGAAAAAAATTAATATTTGCTTTCTATAATATTCTCATCCATTCATTGTGATCAAATATTAGTTAGGAAACTGATGAATAGCATTAAAGTGGTGATATTAAAGCTTAAAATTTTAAAAGTTTTGTAATATTTTTGCATTTACTTGAATATTTTATAAAAATTAGCTTATGTACTAGCAAAATGCAAAAATGTGGGTCATTTAATTGTAAAATATATTTTCATAACTCCATCTCTCCCACTTTCTAACATCATATTTTTTGTAATGTTTTTAATTTTTACCATAGTAAGGAAAATGCTCTGTACTAGTAATTGAATATTGAAATAATGAAACTTATATTGTGCAAATTCCACTTCTGCACCTCTTCCATTCCTCCTTCTCTTCAGCGTTTTTCTTGTTCAGTATTATTTGATATAATCTGTAGACCTTTTTTATAAAAATTCAACTAGTATTTAATCAGTCAGAATTTTTATTTGTTTTACCTTAGTAAATGGCACATTACTAAGTTAATCCACACAGCAATATGTATGTTATAGTTTGGCCATCTCAAAAGCAGCCTTGGCTGGCATTCTGCAAAAACACATAGAATGGTCCAAAAGGGGCGTTGATTACATGTCAGGAGGTGAGAAGTCCCTCTTTACCAGGGAAGAGGGAATTTAGTTGATCAAAGAAGGGGAAAGTCCTCATCATGAAGTGATCCTGTCTTCGCCTTTCATGCCTTTGGTTCATATTCAGCTAAGATTATCAGTGGTTTGCAGCCTGAAAATGGAGAATGTTGATTCCCCCCTTCCAGTAAATGAATTTTGTAATAACAATACGTATTTCATTGCTTACTTTTTAAGATAAGGTCATTAAAAATCCTAGAACTGTATTGTTTAGCAGGAGTATTTTTTTAAGTTAAAAAAATGGGGAGACTGATCAATAGGTTTTCATGACATTTACCAGTTTTGTGGTCTTTTATGTAAGTGTTGGGATAGCTTCTTTTTATCATTAAAATAAGTCGTTTTTATTGGTGTTAAGAAATTTGGGTAATTTTCTGTTTTGCCGGCGGAAACGATAAAGTCGCCAATAATGGTACAAATTATGCCAAACGGAATATCTTCACTGGTAACGTTTTATGCTTCGTTTTCAAAGCAAGTCGCAGCCTTTTCCGATCAGATTGATTGTTTCTTTCAATACTGGCATACAATTACATAAGAATGTTTACAAGATAGTTAAATTTTATGCCCTAAGACCATTCATAGTAATTAAGTCAATTAGGATGCAGTCACACCGCTCATCCGAAGGCGAAAATATAGAAAATTCAAAATTAAGGGTCGAATTCATCAATTCTAACGAGAATGCACTGCGGTTTTACATAATTTCCGAGTAAGCTATTTGTACGAATTGATATAATTCTCGCATTTAAACTTGTATTCCAAATTAAGATTTAACTTGATATTAACATAGTTAATTACTGAGAAAATTAGATTTTTGTAGCGTAGTTTACTTGAGATTAAATCACTTGGGGTCACGTGATGCGAATCAGGATGTTGAACCATGAAAACATAGTAAATTCTTAATGTCTTTTTACAAATTTATTGACCTTTTTTTACAAAAATTTAAATCATATTAAAATGTTTATGCCTTCAAAATAAAAAATTGTTAGAACTAACATTTGTTATCTGTATGCTGTCGCCAACAAAGTCTGCTTGGCGAGATTTGCGCCGGCGAAACGGAAAAATAACGAAATTTGCTATATAGTGTCATTACATTTTGTGACGTGGAAGCTGAGGATGAAGAAATAATCAAAAATAAGAAAATGGCTGAATTAAATGGAATAACTAAGTAATTATAACTATAATTATAGAGTAAAATAAAAATGATACACTATAATAACAATAATTACTAAGTTATTATAGAATGAAATTTACTTATGTTTTATAAAATAATGTATGTATAGAGAAACTAATTTGGAAAACACTTATATTTTTACAATTGTATAATAAATGAAATGCTCAAAATTAAACCCAGTGCAATAAAACTGCTAATTATAAATAATGATCAGCTTAGTTTACTTAAATATTTTGCTGTCTTATATGTCTGTGCTCTTTGAATGCCGTGGGAAATCGCTATTACAAGATTCCTGTCTGTCCACCCTATTTTGAGAATAAACCAATCTGAATAGTGCATGCATGTTTGAAGCAGTCAAACTATATTAATTTATTTTCATTTTATTAAACAAGATTTTCTCAGTATATAAAAGTGTAAGAAAATCACAAAATAAAATTGGCCAAAGTGCATACTATTTGGAATATTTAATTCAATATTTATATATTGTACATCAGAATCATAAATATTTCAATAACTATGATATGCATAATATAGTTAATTTGGAGTTTTTTAAAGAGATTGCCGTGCAGCACATAAACCTCTGAAAAACTCCTAATTTTCTATATTTTAAAGTCCACAGCTATGTGTTTGATCCATGCCATGTATTCTGAAACTAAACCATTTTCCTGTAAATTTCATTGCATAATTATTTAAAATGGCAGATTTAAAAATTGTATGTTTCAAATTAATTTTTTCCCTCCCTTAGATCAAAGAACTTGTATTGGACAATTGCCGGAGTACGTCAATTGTTGGTTTGACTGAAGAATTTGTTAATTTACAATCCCTTAGCCTGATAAATATTGGTCTGACAAATCTTAAGGGATTTCCCAAGCTTCCTAATTTGGAAAAGGTAAGACTTGTGAAAAGCAGATTATTTAATATCATTTTGATTTTAAAATCCTCTTTAAGATTGATTAGTAGAACTGTCAATTCGACTTTGAAAATTATAAAGGTTGGTAAAGTGAAATTTGAATAAAAATGTTCAGCTTCTTATATTTAATGGCCTGTTTGCTTAGACTAGGAATTTTAGCATCGTTCTAGTTTTTATGCAGCTCAAACTAACTTTTATTTTGTACATGTGATTTAAAGCACATGCAAAGCATTCTAAGTGCAGAGTGATAGATCTGAATGAAACACACTATAAGGAAATGTCAGAAACAAGCTGTGTTTATAATCATAATATTTATTAAAAATTTAAAATGTGTAGCATTTGTGCTCCTTAAAGTATAGTCGAATTACATAGTATGAAATGAAAGTGGAATTCTCTGAATATGTTTATTAAAAAAAAAACTTTACATATACTGGAGGAAACATTTTGTGTTTTACAAAGTATTGTCCATGGTGTATGTACCTGTCAATTAACTGTCCTGCTTTTTCATCAAAGCTCCCAGTCTCCTGATAGATAATTTTAATTATTTCCTGTTTTCTAATTTTTAGCATTTAATGTGAAAAATGTGTCCCCAGCAGTAAATGAAATCTAGTGAATTAAATTGTGTAAATTTTTTTTTCTCTATCCCTTAGTGATTTTCAGCACAGTTTTTCATATTAAATTTTATCTGAATTCACTTAATCTACTGTAGACATTTGTGACACTTTATTAAGATTTGGTCAATATTTAATCAATATTAATATTTGTGTTTTCTTTTACATCGATATATGGTGCATTACTAAATTTATTAGAACTACTCTTATATACGTCCTTGCTTGGCGAGAAACTCCGCAGTGCCATATTACTATCTAAATTTTTAGTCTACATTTCAAACTTTAAGCCTAAAATGTCTCCTAAAGCGCAGTTTTCGCGCATGCAAAAACCGTGTCTTAAACACACAATTTAAGCTAACAATCCGAAACAAAAAAACAAAAGTTAGATAGCACAAACATAAAGTTTCTAACCAAAAATATTTGACAAAAATCCATGCTTACAGTGATATGTTTTAACTTGGAAAAAAAAAAAAAAAAAACACAGAAGTAGCACAAACGTAAAGTTTCTAACCAAAAATATTTGACAAAAATCCATGCTTACAGTGATATGTTTTAACTTGGAAAAAAAAAAAAAAAAACACAGAAGTGCACAAATCTCTGTAGCGAAGGAATCTACGAACTACGCACACCTAGCTTAAATAAATTAACACAACAACAATAAATTTAAAAGAATACCATATACTCAGCATTCTGTTTAAACTTTAAAAAACGTTTACGAATTGCACAATCTAGGCATTGTGCACTAATCAACAAAATAAACTAAAATAAATATCAAACAATTCAAAAAACAACAACAGAAATCCATACTAAAAAAACAATGAACATAACATTCTATAAAATAAAATGTACTTACCATGAATGAATGCTTCTTTGAGCAGCAGAAATAAAAATTTCAAACATCACCAAAACAATTTCACCACAAATTTGTTAAAAGCATCTTCTCCTATTTCAGAACAATGATGAAAAATATATAAGCTAGCAAATAAAATTCAAAATCATATTTCCAATTATAAGTAGGCAACATAGCTATACCATGCAGCCACGTAATCTTTACCGTATTTATATGACAGCCAGACTTGTTATCCACAAAATTAAATTTTCAGCCTCCCGGAAAAATAGTTGTACCAGGCACAAGACTAAAATTTTTCCAACAATAAAATCCAAGATTCCACGTAAAAAAGATTTGTCATAGAAACCAACATCGGCCCCCAAAACCAGCGTACAACACATAGCGCTGCAGCTGGCGACCTGAGGGCGCATATAATAGTACCAATTTATCAATGCAATATGTGAATTAATTGCCAATTTTACTTTCATTATATTTAAAAGTACTTTGACAAAGACAAGCTTTCCTTCTTTACTTAGAATTTTCTCAATATAAAGAATATCTAATTAAATATTACAATATTACAGGGGTGGCCAAAGTGCGGCTCGTGAGCCTGATACAGCTCCGCAGTCAATTTGTGTGGCTCATGCATATAAAATATATGTATGAAATATGGTAAAATAAAAACTATTCAGTGTCCAAAAGGAAGTACTTAGTTTAGACTCTTTTTACAAAAGTTATCAGGGATTTCTTTATATTTAAAACCTCTTCCACTACTTACATAATGATATAAATATGAACTTGTGGCTTTTTAGAAAATCTAGATGCGCTCTCGAACATTCCTGAATTCAAACATGCTGCTCTTACTGACATGAAGTTTGGCCAACTCTGGTATATTCTATGTCTGAAACCTCCAGTTTGAAGTAATTTTTAAATGGCATCAGCGTGCTGCTAAAATACCTCCTGTAAACTTGCGATTTTTCATACTTCAAGGTTCTAATATATGTCGTGGTTTCTAATGCCCTTTTGGAAATGTACTGTACCTTAAAACTTTCAAGCAAAAAACCTCATTTGGAAAACCTTTGTCATGGCTCTAAGCATCTTGAATATCCAAAATTTTCTCATCTTGGAGCATGTTTCTGGTTTAGAAATAAAAAGTCTGCTGAAGTAAGATCATGTAATATGATGAATGTTTCAGAGCTGTGGCCAAATGTGACCAGGCAGTAACGTTGAGAAAACCCAGAAATCTGCTTTGCATTTTCTAGATGCAAGTTTTTTTTTTTTTTTTTTTTTTTTTTTTTTTTTTTTAATAAATTTTTCAGAACATTTTGTGTGTTATTTATTATTGCTCATTTCAGCTAATGTCTTCTTTTTCTGTATTTTTGCCATTCTAAGAAGTTGCAGGCCTACTGTTTTGAGTAGCATCTTCGGTTGAATCCCATCTGTCCTGAAAACTTTTAAACCATTCATAAATATGCTTAAAAGATACAGCTACATCTCCATGATCTTGTTTTATCTGTGCTTTCCATGGAAAATTATCGTTATAAGCTGGTTGTGATGGTAGAGTTTTCTGGCACACAACTGTGGAGATCATCATGTGCACATAATTGCATGGTAAAAATTATGCAAGTGTAATTAAAATGTGAATGCTAATAAAAGAAAGAAAATGATGTTAAAACCCTTATTTTTGTTAAAAGGTATAAAAGAAAAAAGATCAGTTAAAACCATATTACGAGTGAAAAAGTCCAGTAATTATTTGATAATGAAAAAAACCACACATATAAAATACATGTATTAAAATTTATTAACCCTCTGGCTGCTCATCCCGCGATTTCCGCGGGCATGTGCTTTTCTTCCTTTATTGAGGAGCGCATCCCGTTTTTTTTTTCCAGTTTAACCATTGAAATAAATTATATACAGTATTTGACGTATAGTTTACGTTTTGGTCAACATATATCGTTAGTTGTCTACTAAATTGCGGGATTTGAAGGTACGTGGTATTGCAGCTCAACCTTCACTTTTTGCCGCATTTTTCTTACAGAAATGGCTGCTAGAAAACGTTTAGCGATTATCTTTATTATTTAATAAAATTGTTGAATATTAATTCGATTTATTGATTAGGTTTATAATTAAATTGATTATTAATTAGATTTATTGAATCTGGCGCAAAGACTGTGAAGTTGGACTTTGCCTTGAACCCTGTTTTGAACTCTATCGTACTAACTGCATTTCTAAGGTATTTTTTCCTCAGTGCTTCATATTTTAAAATTTATACATTTTAATTTTTTATATTATGTAATAATAGAAATTAACTGTAATTCGATTGAAAGTTTTTTTTTTTTTTTTGCTTTATAAGCATCTGAAATTGGTTTTTCTGGCAACTTAGTTTCTCATGATAAAAATCTACATAAAAGTGTTTTCTAGAAAGAAAAAGTGCATTTTTCAACTTTCCAATATATATAGATTTAAAATATGAAAAAAGTTACACATTTTTTGAAGCGATTTCGGCCTACAATTTGAGCAGTCAGAGGGTTAAAGGTTAATTAAAGCAACTTGTAAAATCATCTCTCTTTTAAAAACGGAAATAATTTAACTTGACAGTATTTCCATACAAGATCAGTTAATGTTAAGCGAACTGTGTAAAAATAGTTTTGATAAATGTACTTAAGATACAAACAGTTAATTAATATATACTGCACTGATAATGCCAGAATGTAATTTCTACAAATCGATGGAGACTGAAGCCTTTCACAAATACTGCCAATTAGCACAACAGTTACCTACTCTCATTCGAGTCAAAAGAAACTCCTCCCTCCAATTTCTTGTTGACTCCCTGCTCTCCATGCTGGTTTTTACACTTTGCAATTTTTTATTGGTCTGCAAGTTATACAGCAGCTGCCATTGATTCAAAATTGATGATTCCTTATCAGCATATCCGGAAGCCCAAAAGAAAAATGTGATATCCTCAGTTTTGCAATTCTGGATTCAGATTCAAAACTTCAACAAAGATAGGATTACAGAAATAAGGGAAGACCCTAAAGCACTGTCCGTGCAAACAGTGTTACTTTCTGCAGAGTTGTTTTGACACGAATGTCAAAGCATAGTAGATTGCAGTAAATTTAGATGTAAAAACTGAACTATCCTGGTTCTCTTTAACATTTCTGATGAGGTTTCTACTGACAAAGATTGCACACACATGGTTGTGGGTTTTTGAGCCATCAGTATTTATAGAAAGATAATTACTATATTAGATGTTCAGAAAAGACAGCCCTATACATGGCATCGTGAATGTTTTTCTTATCAATGTGTTAATGTAATTTGACAACATGAATTCAAGCATCCTCCCATGGAGGATATCATGAGGTTTTTAAGCTGAACATAAGCTGATGTTCAGACCATGCCCATTTTTTTGAATGAACTCATCTGGCTGATGTGGAAGGCATGTGATTAAGTGGGAATCATATTTAGCTGCTGCTGGAGAAGGTAAAGATAATCATTTTTGCACTTTTGTGAGTGATAAAAAAGGATGCTAATTTAAGCAA